TAACCTCTACTTGCAGGCTTTAGGCAAGGCTCAGACTCCCCCAGCCCTCTGAGTGCCTCACACAGACCCAGCACAGGGTGGGGTCTCTGCGCCTCTCTGGGTGTGAGTTGCCATTCCTTCTCACACCAACAGCAGTTCCATGTTCCCTCCTCAAATACCGACTGAAGCTTTCTTCCTCTCCCTTTGAAAGACAAATTGTATCACTGTGCTTCCTCAACCTGTCATCAACCACTGTATCTGTAAGACTCACAGATAATTCCAGAACCCTACAAATGCAGATACATAAGTGGACCAGCCTCAAGTGAGGAGGTGCACCCCCTGACTCCTACCGTCAGCGTGCCAGGTGTGGGATGGTGCATGCAGGTGAGAGCGGGCTGCTGACTACTGTTTTCACAATTCGTGGTTCCCTGAATGTACATGACACGGTGCTGTATGCACATCTTTCCTTCTCACTAGAGCACAGCCTCAAATGGGAAAGGTCACGGGCACTACCTGGTTCCCCTCATCCTTCTTCCTCATCTAAGTGTTTCCATCTTGACAACCTAAGACTCTCCTGGGGATCTTGTTAGAATGCAGATTCTGATATGTGAGGTGGAAATGCAAATTCTCAGCAGGGGGCCGAACCAGAATAAACCAGTTCAAAGCCTTGCATGTATCACATGCAGAACTCGGCAGACAAGACACGTGTGAACACGTGATGCAACTCTCCAGAAACCCCGTGTGGCGTGGGCCCTCCGCTCAGACCCCGGTCCCCGCTCCAACTGGGCCATTAACCATTCTCTACCTACAAAGGCAGGCGTGGGGATGGGAGGAGGATGGGGGCGAGGGACGGTGGCAGTGTGCAGTGGCAGCCACCCGTCGGGCCAGCCTCTTCAGTAACAAAGGTATTTGAGCTCTCCGCCCAGAGGACCATGTGCACTCCGGACCGCCTGTCGGGGCATCTCTGTATCTTCTTCTGTGACGGGTGCCGCCTCCACGGAGGAAGCAACTTCTCTAACAAGGACCCAGGAGGTCTGCAGGCTTCGCAGCATTTGATTCTCTTTTTCAGTAGAGACAAATCTGAGCAGCTGCTGCTAACACAAGTTTTACCAAGTAGCTTCACAAAACCGATA